TTTCTCTGTATTCCAGGTGCACTTGTTCTCCAGGTGGCTCCATCTGAAGGTACTGAAGAAGAGAGACACACACATGCTCCCAAAGCACGAGACACGAAAAGCCCCTAACGGCGTCCCCCCTCCCACAGAGACCCTGAAGGTCAGCGTGTGGCCTCCGGGGTCAAAGGTCTTCCTCGGTGAGAGCGTGTTGCTGCTCTGCACCGTGGAGTCCGGCTCCGGGTTCCAGTGGAGCTTCAACTGGTCTGAGCCCGCCGCGAACCCGGACCCCCGGCACCGGGTCTCGGGCGACAGCTACTTCATCGCCGCGGTAACGAGGGAGGACGCGGGCGCGTACCGGTGCCGCGCCGACGGGCGGAGGAGTGGCGCCCCCTCCGTGGCGCTCCTCGCCCCGCCGGCCGTGCTCAGCGTGTCGGGTGCTGCTTTTAATTCTTCTAATATTCTAGTAGCTTCTTCAAGTCAGTGCTGGAAATCCCTGCAGCATGTGAATGCATCACGGCGTCATTAAAGCCCCAAAGCCACTCTGACCTCTGACCCTTTATGACGCAATCACACGCCAGCTCACGCACGCGTACACACACACACACACACACACACACACACACACACACACACACTTTAAAAACAAGTGACAACAAATGTCACAAATGTGTTGTTTGAACATAGAAACAGGTCAATACGTTCTAGTATGAAACCCAAAGGACCCTGAAGGGATGGGATTCATCTTCTGGGGGCCGTGAATGTCTGTAGAAACGTCTTCCTTCTGTTTCCTCCAGGGCGCCCCCCCCCCTCCCTCCTGACTCCCAGCAGCAGGCAGCTCTTCAGAGGGGAGGTCTTCACCGTGCGCTGCCCCCCGGCCTGGAAGCTGAAGACGAAGGGGAGCAAAGAAGAAGAAGAGCGCACGCTCACCACCAGCCCCCGCTCACCAGCAGGGGGCGCTGTGGCAGCCGATGACCCCGGAGAGCGGGTGCTGGCGGCCGCGGGTGGGGGGCTGTACTGGTGCGAGGGCGCGGGGGGGCGCAGCGACGCAGTCCACATCGCAGTGAGCGGTGAGTGACGAGAGCATCTGGTCTGTTTGGGCCTCGTGGGCCATTTGCATAAAAATGGGCCAATTATGCACCAACTTGCACCAGAATGTTACCTCATTTACATAAATGGAAAAGAAGCAGAGTACCGGGCGGCAAATGTTCTTTTTATCTGTGCAATTCTAACAGCTTTTAACAATTCTGTTGGTCCACTGACGTCTTCTCCCACCCCTGTCCCACAGATGGGGGCGTCGTCCTGCAGACTCCCGCTGTCCCCGTTGTCGAGGGCGACAAAGTCGTCTTGCGTTGTCGGTACCGGGCGGCCGCTGGCGGTGGAACAACCTTCTTTAGGAACGGAGTGGAGGTCGTGACCTTCGGCTCCTCCGGCTCGGACGCAGGCGTGAACGTGAGGATGGAGAACGTGAGGATGGAGAACGTGAGGATGGAGAACGTGGCGATGGAGAACGTGACGATGGAGAACGCGGCGATGGAGAACGCGGCGATGGAGAACGCGGCGATGGAGAACGTGACGATGGAGAACGTGACGATGGAGAACGTGACGCGGGTAGACGAGGGTTTCTACAAGTGTGCGACCCGGGACGGAAGCATGGAGAGTCCTGAGAGTTGGTTGTCAGTGAGACCTGGTCCAGGTCAGATGTCCGGCTTTAATAATATTAATATTTAATATTTAATAATATAGCAATATTCACTATTGTGCTTTGTGTAAAATGTGGACTGTTCTGTCTTTCAGGGTTAAACTCCACGTCGACAGATGGCGCTGGAGGTGACATGATTTTGTTTTGTCAATTAAATATATTTAGAGACAATTCTTGATGATAGTAGTAATTATTAAATTGTAAAACATGGTGGTGACCAACGGTTCTCAAAAGTTGCTTCACGTGTTAAAGCTGCATTCTCTGTAGTGACCAGCAGGGGGCGACTCCTCTGCTCCCATAGACGTCTATGAGGAAATGACTCTACTTCTCTGTAGTGACCAGCAGGGGGCGACTCCTCTGCTCCCATAGACGTCTATGAGGAAATGACTCTACTTCTCTGTAGTGACCAGCAGGGGGCGACTCCTCTGCTCCCATAGACGTCTATGAGGAAATGACTCTACTTCTCTGTAGTGACCAGCAGGGGGCGACTCCTCTGCTCCCATAGACGTCTATAAGGAAATGACTCTACTTCTCTGTAGTGACCAGCAGGGGGCGACTCCTCTGCTCCCATAGACGTCAATGAGGAAATGACTACTTCTCTGTAGTGACCAGCAGGGGGCGACTCCTCTGCTCCCATTGACGTCTATGAGGAAATGACTCTACTTCTCTGTAGTGACCAGCAGGGGGCGACTCCTCTGCTCCCATAGACGTCTATGAGGAAATGACTACTTCTGTGTAGTGACCAGCAGGGGGCGACTCCTCTGCTCCCATAGACGTCTATGAGGAAATGACTCTACTTCTCTGTAGTGACCAGCAGGGGGCGACTCCTCTGCTCCCATAGACGTCTATGAGGAAATGACTCTACTTCTCTCTGGATTTATTCCCTCAGTAAACATTTAAGTAGTAGTGTTAGTAGTAGTAGTGTCAGTAGCAGTAGTAGTCGTCAGTATTAGTAGTAGTAGAGTCAGTAGTAGTAGTAGTCGTCAGTAGTAGTGACAGTAGTAGTAGTACTGGTAGTCAGTAGTAGTGACACTTAATAATATAAATATCTGCTCTCCTGGTCAGAACCCTGGAAGTGGATCCTTGTCTCCTGCGGATTGTCTCTGCTCCTCGTTCCTCTGCTCGTGTGTCTGGTCCGTCACAGGTTGGTGTCTCTGGAACCCCACCCTCCACCTTCACCTCCGCACACGTCACATTGTGTTGTCTTTGTGTTTTTCTGCGAGGTGTCGGAGGCGTCTGCCGTCCTCCAGACAGAAGCTGCAGGGGGCGGAGCTACCTGCCACTAAGCCGGACGCGAGCGAGGTGCAGTGGGACCTGTCCTGGATGGAGATGTCCGACCTGCTGGATGAACACTCTCTCTCTGGAACCCAAAGGTCTCAAAGTTGACGTCCTGTCCTCTCCGATGAATCACATCTTGGATTGTTCCAAATGAAGAAACAAAATAAACTTGAATCAGCTTGTAAAGTCATCGTCACAAAGCTTTTTATTCATACAGGATAGAAACATATGAGGACATTTTAGAATATGATGCTATTATTACATTAAACAGATGTAACAAGAAAACACAGACAAGCAATACTTTTAATTATTGTTACTTCAATGATGTCATCGGTGCCACCGGGTCAGATTCTGGTGAAACCAGTTGACGTCATGCAGGTTCACCAGAACCTCCTTCAGCTCAGACTCCTGAAGAGACCAGTCCAGCGTGGACAGACCCAGATCCTCCTGCAGAGACCAGTCCAGCGTGGACAGACCCAGATCCTCCTGCCCAGAAACCCCGCCCCTCTACCTGAGAATGCAGTTGGATTGGCTGTTGTCAGTGTCAGGACTGACCAATTGAACACGAACAAAACAAAGACATATTGAACTGCTGCTTGACTGTTAAATAAAGTGCTGAATCATGTACATGTCACACAAACTGTACTCCGTTTCCTAAACGACAACCTCCAAACTGTGAAAATCTATCTATCTATCACCATGCAGACAAAAGAAGCATCACTAGAGACGCCCAGTTAGTCTCCTCATATAACAAACATAACTCTTTAAGAGACGTGAGCTTAACTCGCACTTGTTTTTGGCTCATTGCTGCTCATAAATGCAACTATTGCTTGTTCTCCCTTCCTCAAACACCGGGTCCGAAATGGACTTCAACACAAAGAGCACAAAGGTTATGAAAGCATGACAGGATCTGCAGATGCTTCTGATTCCATGTGATCTATGACGAGGCAGCGGGGGAACCGGTGGAACCGGAACCGGTGGAACCGGTGGAACCGCTGCTCTGCTGTTTCATTCCTTCAGTGGGAACAGAGGCTGCCGGCAGCAACAGACTTCATGTTTTCTCGGGTGTTCGAGGAGAAACGCTCGTCCCTCTTCAGCCGGCTTTGAGAAGAGGAGACGGGTAAACGATGGAAAGTCCTCTCGGTGAGTTCATGGTCGAGATTGATTTAACAGTAACCAGGAATAGATTTGTTGTTCCGGTGGATGTTGTCTAAAGGTATTCTTCATATCACTGTATTTGATCTGTGCAACGTGCAGGTTGTTTTTAGCTCAAATCAACCTTCATCAGGACGTCTGAGCTGCGAGAGGCATTCGGGTCCTCTTGTTTTACTCGCAGCTCAGATCAGCTCTTAAAGCACTCTCGTTTCCATGGCAACGACCTTTTGATCGCTTCCTGCAACTGGCGATAAACCGGTTGGATCTGACAAGAGTTCCAGTAAACAAACTCTTCCTTAAAGTTTGAGACTCCTCCTCGACGGTTCCATGTGAACAGCGAGTCGTAAGAGGAGCCGAGACGCCTCAGCTGGTTCCCTCACAAATGATGCTTTTAGAATATAAATTGGCCCTTTGCGTTCCATAACGCATTCCTAGAATGCATTTAGTGGTGCAGATTCTTGGATCTATTTACTTGTATATCTACGTACATGACAAACTTTATACAAATTTTAAAGTTGTGACGCTCAGATAAAAGCCTCTGAATGTGAACAGTTTCTGCCTCCGGTCTCATCACTCCTGGTTGTCTTTTATTGTGGGATGAAGTTTGGTGATGAGTCACTCAGCTTCTTTTGCCTCTAAATGATTTGTTGTGCTTCAGGGTGGTTCATAAGAGTCAGAAGTAACTGCGACACAAAGTCCCAGAGGAAGTTCAGCAGCAGGAGGCCCCCCTTCTATATTCTACCAAACTAGTGTTTTCATTCTTCACAAACGCTTCATAACAAAGTGCGTCTGCGCTGCTGCAGAGAAGCATTCTGTTGTAGAGAGACAAAACTATTTCAAGAGAGAGAGACTTATTGACATTCTGACAATGCTTTATTATAACAGGCATACATATTTATATTGCCAAGTTGTTTGGGGCTTGGACTCCATCCTGCCGTAGGATGGACCAGGGGCCGGGAGGCCGAGATGAGGCATATCCCCCCCCATCGGGAGTCCAGACACTTGTGGTGGTGGTAGAGAATAAGTTGCTCCAATCTCCTGATTTGCCAGGTTCTGCAGTAGATTGGAGGTGTCAGTGGCGGGTCAACTTTGATGCGTTCTGAAATGACAATTGACAGCAAAAGAGAGGAGAACAGTTTGTAACGTTTGCCTCCACCGATGCGACTGGTTTACGACACCCATGTCTGGTTGGCCAACCCAGTCTCACAGCAAAACGTGTGATAATACCTGGTATCTGTTTGACTGTCTGTGGGATGAACAATGCTTTATTTACTTTTTTATAACCCTTTTAATTTACTAAAATTAAAAAGGATTAGGTGAAGATCCACCCTCAGGCTCCACCAGCATGTAGCCTATTGCATCAAGTGTGTATTATTTGGTACAATTGTGTGTGCATTCTGACCTCATGATCATATCGGCCCACATGAGTGAAATTGTAGGTTATTTTGCATGTATATATTTCTGCTGGACTATTCAGGAACTTATTTGGGGTCTTGCTTTGTCTTGTGTTGCACTTACTTGATGTTTGACTGTTAGGAAAGTTGTTGTCAAGCTAGCCAACAAAGCTACAGGGCTGCCAACTCTCACGGTTTCCCCGTCAGCCGTAGCTTCACCCCCAACGTCTCACTCCAAGGTTTAGTGAAAAGTGTCCCTATAACATTACAAAGAAGCCGACTCGAGAGCACTTCATACTAGCATCAATATGCTAGCGTTTTATAACAAGCTTGCTAACATTGCTAACGAGATGTCTGCTAGCGGCTAAACTTACTTTGTTTATGACAAACTAGCAAGTCAACAATTTTCCAAACACAGTCAAACATCAAGCAAGTGCAACACAAGACAAAGCAGACGTCCTCTTATATCCGGACGTTTCCTCTTTTCCAGACCTAAAAAAAGCGTCCGGGTAAAAGAGGACGTCTGGTCACCCGAGCTAAGCTAGGCTAAGGCTAATGGTGTATATGGGTGAGCAGTCTGCTACATGAGGGCACGTCTCCCCTGATAACTCGCATGTGTGAGAGCTGTTCAGTCGACGTGTGCAGGCGGCCCGACACGCAGCGGAACAGTGAGTGCTGCTTTTTTTAAAGTACCGGTACTAAAAATATTCAAAACCGTATTGTTTTCAACGTGTGGGTACCGCGATACCTTTCTAGTACCGGTACACCGTGCAACACTACTTGCAACTACGTCACTAGAAACTAATAAACGGAAGGTCTTCTACATTCTCTGATAGAAGGTTAAGAAAATACAACTCTCGATACTGATACTTCTCGCTAGAAATGCCTTCGAAATGCATACAAATGCTGATGCTTTCTTAAAATATTGTGCTTTTTAGCTGAGCGAAAGTTGATAGTCACGTGACCTTGCAAATTAAACGTTGTATTGTCACGCTTTCTCCCCAAAAAGCGTGAGAATACCACGTTGGTCCACAACGTGGCTATTACACGTCTTGCTGTGAGACTGGGTTGGCTGGTGCTCCATCAGGTCGTCGAAACAGTGAAACTAACGCTGTGTTAGTTATGGAGGTGGTGCTTATGTTTGATGTCTTTTTGCTTCCAGAGGAGCCGGGGAGCACCACCCTGACGGAGGTCCGACTCGTCCTGATCGGTGAACGGTGGTCCGGCAAGAGCTTCTCCGGCAACACCATCCTGGGGAAGGACGCGTTGGAGTGCGGCCGCGCGCGGACAGCTCACACCGAGGTGAGGCACGCGAGGGCGGAGGGCCGGCGGCTGGTGGTGGTGGACGGCCCCGGGTGGAGCGGCTCCCTCTCCCTCGCCGAGATCCCCGAGGTCGACAAGCAGCGGTTTAAACTCCACGCCTCCGCGTGCCCGCCGGGGCCCCACGCCTTCCTCCTGGTGGTGCCCCTGGACACGGCCTTCTCGGCGGGGAGCCGGCGGACGGTGGAGGAGCACATGAAGCTGCTGGGGGAGGCGGCCTGGAGACACACCCTGCTGCTCTTCACCTGCGGGGACTTCCTCCGGAAGAGGACCATCGAGCAGCACATCGAGGGCGAGGGAGAGTCGCTCAGGTGGTTGACGGAGAGGTGCGGGAACAGGTTCCACGTGTTCCACAACAAGGAGAAAGGGAACCTCCGTCAGGTACAGGGGCTGCTGGAGAAGGTGGAGGAGATGGCGCAGCGCTGCGGCTTCTTCCGGCTAGACGAGGCGACGCTGAACGCCGTCAAGGAGAAGCAGCGGGAAGCGGAAGAGAGGGCGAAAGAGAGGAAGAGGAGGGCCGAAGAGCAGAGGAGACAAAGGAGGGAACTCTTTCCAGGTGACGGGAGATAAAATAAGTATTTCTTTAATCAGTTTATGGTCTCAATCGGTAGTTTCAAGTCTTCTTCAACACAGCATGATGTTCATTTAGTGACTGATGGTCCATTTAGAGTCAAACAGACCATAAAGCAGGGGGCGCTTTAGGGCGGGGGCTTACTGTGATTGACAGCCGTTAACTTGGACTTCTACACTATATTTATCTGAGTTGGTTATTAACCTTTTTATGTTATTTGTGTCCCCGATCTTGTAAAATGTACTGAAACTGTTATTTTTCATTATTAAATATGAATATATGTGTTTTCTCTTCATTTTGGCTCTTGGCTAATTCATTGATGGATTTGTGATTAATCCCATTAAAGTCTTATTTGTTGACTGGTTTTGTCCCCCAGAAGGGACCAAACCCCTCCCAGAACTCCGCCTGGTTGTCTTGGGGAGCCGCGGCGTCGGGAAAACCTCGGTGGGAAACACAATCTTTGGGTCCAAAGAGCGAGGAGACGGGCGGAGGACGTCCTGCTCGGCGGCCCGCCGGGGCTTGGTGGGTGGGACCCGGCTCACCGTGGTGGACACGCCGGGCTGGTGGAAAAGCTTCTCTGCGTCCGACACCCCCGAGGCCACCAAGGAGCAGTTGAGGCTCAGCGCCTTCCTCTGCCCCCCCGGCCCTCACGCCTTCCTGCTCGCCATTGACGCCGACGGCTCGTTTGGCGCCGAGCACCTGCGCGCCGCCGAGTCCCACATGGAGCTCCTTGGGGGGGCCGCGTGGAGGCGTACCGTGGTGGTCTTCACCCGGGGAGACTGGGTGGGAGGTCGCGGCGTGGAGGTGCACATCGAAGGGGAGGGCGAGGCGCTGCGCTCCTTAGTGGAGCGATGCGAAAACAGGTATCACGTCATCGACAACAAGAACGAGGACGACGGGAAGCAGGTCGCCGAGCTGCTGGAGAAGATCAGCGAGGCCGTGGCGGCTGACGGCGGGGGCCACTTCGTCCCAGACCAGGAGGAGCTTCTCAGGATCCAGGAGAGAAGACTGAGAGTGGAAGAAGCAGCGGAACAAAGGCGGAGCCAAGTCGTGGCCAAAAGAAACGCCCTCCGAGGTACGAAAGCTCACCATAGACCATTGATTTATTCCCTCGGTAACCATTGTAAACGAGTTCATGGTTTAAACTCTAGTTTCAAGTCTTCTTCAGTACAGCGTGATGTTCATTTAGTAGATGGACGAAACCAACAAGAGCTACTCGTCCACTTCTTACATTCGCTATTATTTATTCATTTTTCCCCCTTCTCAGACGCCACTAGCGAGCTTCTGGAGATCACCATCGTGATGCTCGGTCAGAAGACCTCCGGGAAGAGCGCCACAGGAAACCACCTCCTGAGCAAAGAGGTGTTCCCCACCTGCGAGAACAAGACCTGCCAGGTGGCGGAGGGGTCAGTCGCCGGCAGGTCTCTCACCGTCATCGACACCCCGGGCTGGCGGAATAATCCCTCCGCCTGCACCGAAGCGCAGGACAAAGAAATAGTCCGAGGTCTCTCGCTAAGCCCCCAGGGGGTCCACGCCGTCCTGCTGGCGGTCGCCATGGACCAGAAGTTCGGAGACGACGAGCAGGCCGCCCTGGAGGCTCACGTGGGCCTCCTGGGCGCCGGCGTCTGGCGGCACGCCGTGGTCCTCCTCACCCACGGGGACAGCCTGGCGGGCCGATCCGTGGAGGAGCACATCGAGCTGGAGAGCGGCGCCCTGCGCCGGCTGGTCGAAAGGTGCGAGAATCGCTACCACGTGGTTAACAACTCCAAAAGGGCGGAGCCGCGTCAGACCGCAGAGCTCTTCCAGAAGATCGAGGAAATGGTGGCGGCAAACGGCGGGCAGCTCTTCCACCCCGAGGTGGCCGAGGTCCACCTGAGGATAGAGGAGAAGTTTGCGAGTACGCGGCTGAAGGAGGTGATGAGGCGGCGGCTGGAGGCGGAGTTCAGGCAGAGGGAGCTGGAGCTGATGGAGGGCTTCAAGGAGACGCTCCTCCACCTGCAGGGGAGCGTGAGGAGCAGATCAAACTCGCTGAGTGAGTCCGTCGAGCTTCATGAGTCCGTCGACTTCTCCCCCGTTGACATCCTGCTCTTCTGATCTTTTGTTTTCTTCTTGTTTTTGAACCCACAGGCGTCGTCCAGAAGAAAGTCGGAAAGTCGGAGGAAAGAATCAACCGGACAATCTGCCTGGAAATTGAAAAGCTGGATAAGGAAATGAAGAGAAAATCCTCAGTTGATGTGCAGAGCAGCATGGACTTCCTCCTCCCCGAATGTAAGTGATGAGGCTAAGCCCCGCCCCTTCCGAGCTCACTGATGATTCAACCTGATCTGTACGACGGTAAACAGACATTCTGTTGAGCCGCTAGCTAGCTAGCTTAGCCTAGCTTAGCTCTGTTCAAAATATACTGGATCTTACTCTTATGAGTCGTTTCAAAAAAGTTGTTTCCTGTGAGGACAGAACTGTCACATGTTGGTGGCTTTTGTAGAAACAAACCGTTGGTATGAGGAGACATTGAACTAAGTACCTGAAACTTTAAGGGATCCAGGAAAACGATGTCCCATGATGCTCCTGTTGAGGGGCGGGGCTTATCCTCCCCGTCATCACCGTGGTAACCTGAGCGTGGCCTTGTGTTAGTTTCCACAGCGACTCCGGCGTCTCAGGGGGGAAATCCCTCCCGCCGCTTGGTCAACGTTCTCGGGTGGCTGTCGAAGCTCCAGGTCGGCGAGGAGAACTTCTCCCAGACCTCCGGGTACAGATCGGAGCTGGACCCCGACCCCAATGACCTGAACGAATGAGAGGATTTAAAAAGTGCAGAATGTTTGTTCAGAAGCGTCTTCGTTAAAGACGAATTAACTTTCGTTAACCATTAGAGCCGTAAACCTGTATAATAAATAAATAATCGCTAAACATAATTAGATTTTATATATATATATATATATATTATATTTTGTCCTTTGACGAGAACTTTCTCATTTTGACTTCCATAGTTTGGAATTTTAATTCCAGGTTGAAGGATTGTTGGTCTTTAAATGGTCTGAATTGGTTTTTATTCATAAGGAACCTGCAGAAACAGTTTCAATTCAACGTTTATATTATTGGGTGAGTTTGATTTAAAGGTATCTAATAAATGAATATAACAAATTGCAGTTGTGCTCCGGAAAGTATTTATTTACATCTGGATGATGTTGTATCCATTGTGTTACTGTGTTAATGTGTTTCCTGTCATTCTGTTACAGTAATAAACAATCAGCAATCAGTTTTATGACATTTATTCCAATAATAGCTCAGACGTTGGTGCGTAACAGCAGACAGTTCGACAATGGACGACAAGACAACAGTGCACGAGGAATAAAATAAAATATACGGCTATGGGTTAGTTTAAAAATAAAGGAATAAGTAAAGAAAAGTTAAAAATATTAAAAAATTTAAAATAAAGTGCACCAGCGAACAGAAGGTGACAAATGAAAGTGACAAGTGGCATGTGCAGTATGAAGCAGAGTGACAGGTGGGATGTTATAGTCAGTCAGTGGGGGACCGGCTCTGTTGATGAGCCCGACTGACGACGGGAAGAAGCTGTTGGTGTGGCGGGAGGTCTTAGTCCTGATGGACCTCAGCCTCCTGCAGATGGAAGGGGCACAAACAGGTTTTGTCGGGGTGAGAGGGGTCGGCTGCAGAGCGGAGGACACGCTGCCCTTGTCCTTGGCCGTGGCTGCAGCGTACCAGACGCTGATGGAGGAGCAGAGGATGGACTCCATGATGGCCGTGTAGAAGTGCAGCCTCGGGGGGGAACCGGTGCTGAGACATGTTTCCCCAGCTTCACGTGCCGCTTCCCATCGGACAGGAAGTCTGTGATCCACCTGCAGGTGGGAGAGTTCGTCCTGCAGCAGAGACGGCTAATTGGAACAAATGCACCTAAGCTGTTGGAACCCTGGGAGATCATAAATAGTCAAGACGAAGGCCCCTACGCAGTAAGAACCTCATTGGGATGGGCTGTAAATGGACCACTGAGATGTGGTGGTGGTGTGACCGTAAACAGGATATCAGATGCAACTTCTGATCTCACAGTACAATCGTGGTTTTAGCAAAGTTGCACACCAGGAAAAGAAATAGAAATAGCCAGAGGGGCCGTCCATGTAGGTGGACATTACAGTCTAACGTTTCCCTTCAGGGAAGCTGATGTCAGCTTAACCGCCAAACTGCAGAGCAGCGCCTAAAGCCTAGTTTATGCTTCTGCGTTTTCAGAGCGACGCAGACGCAAGCCCCCCGTGCGTGTCCGTGGCGTCGCTTTTCACACCTCCTTGCCGGTCGAGAGGCGCACAAAGTTGTGGAGGAAAATACAAATGTGTCCGCGATGAAAAGCAGCAGTGGCAATAAAGTCTATGATAAATAAATAAACTAATAAATAAATAGACGTGACTCTCTAGGTCGTCTTCAACACAAACACGTTACTCCGCCTGTTGTTCTGGAGGTGAATCGCTCTGCAACACACGCAGAACCATGAAGTGAATTGAGGCGAATTGAGTGCGTCGCAACGACGCAGACGCAGAAACATGCGCCGCCTTAAAGAGGAAAATGAGCAAAGACCAGCAGTACAAGCAGGAATAAGTTTGCGTTCACGAATGATGTATTGAAGGACAATTATGCAGAGGACGTCCTGCAGGAAGAGCTGACACAGACACTGGGGAAGGTGTGATACCAGAGCTACCAACTCTGCTGGTGCTACCTCACACGCTTTGGCCGTGTGACACACGCTTTTGCATGTTTTCACACGCACTCACGCCACACAACCAATTCCTCACGGCAAAAAAAAAAAATCTGATTTTGGGCCTGTAGGATATTAGAAACAAATATACGACCCGGTTCATAAAATTAATACAAATGCATATAGTGTACACCAGAATACAGCCATGATTCTGAAACTGTGTAATTCATAAAGTAATGACAATATTGTAAAACCAGTGTAATTCTGCACTGTAGTAGAATAATATCAATGCAGTTATGATTGTATTTGATGTAATGTAATCAACTGGAATGCATGCATGTAATACTTGCACAAGCACTGATATTGACTAAGGATCATTCGAAATCCGAGTTACATTGAACTCACCAGAAGACCACTCCCAGAGGTGTGGACACTAACTTTCACACCTTTAAGCATTGCTATAAATACCTGTAGGAACCATTGTTCTCGAGTTGGCTGGTGGAGGCGACAGACGGGCACTAGGGATGGTCAAAGGACTGACCTGGGGCCTGTTGGCTGCTGAGACCAGCGGCTCCTCAGCTGAGATGTTCTTTTTACCACAACGCCATCTCCTTTATTAAATACATTTGATTTTAACCTTTTGATCAGCGATGACCTCTGTCCGTCCGGCGTTTCTTCATTTTTGAACACAACAGATCCAACAATGCGGTGAGCATTACAAATCATAGTACTCTTTGCACTGCAGGCCTAAGATACTGAAATACTTTTACCGTGATCCAAATAATTGCCTATGAGAGCCACATGTAATCCAGCAATGAACACATAATCTCTTTAGTGAAAAAGTGTACAACTAATCACACTTTTTAACAAAGCAATTGGTTAACCAGTATGTTCAGGCTTCATGAGCAAATACAGAATCCCTTTGTGTTCATTTCCAAAGCCGCATTAAGACACACATCACTTTATTTAACACGCTGCTTGCAAGTCGCTGTGTTGTGCCAGACTCTCAATAAAACATTTAGGACAAACCCACGGTCATGAAGAGACTCATCTAACGTTACCTGGACTCTGCGTGAGGAAGAGGAGGAGGAAGAGGAGGAGGCTCCGTGTCGCTAAATACTAACTTTCCACCGACCACTTTTCCCACCCGGCGTCGCTCCGATCTGCCGGCGCTCTATCATTTTGTGCTACTTGTCGAGAACTGCTTCTCTGTAGTATTGGGCATGCGCCGAGTCGATTTTCCAAGTTTCCTTGACACGCCCATAATATTTTGCAACCCTGTCGGTGAACGACGTGTTAACCGAGTAACATCCTCAAAATCCCGATTATTTCCTCTTTTGGCCAAGTTAAAAAGTACATTGAGCGTGTAGATTGTACAATGACCGTTCTCTTGAAATGAAATATTAAATAATTGCATGGACTGTGTATCCTCGCCTCCGTCTACTCTGTTGTATTATCCTGCAATGAGTAGTGGGAGCAATATTTGATAGGGTGTTATTGTGCTATCAAAATCTGCTACCCCTGAACTTTTTATAATAATCGAGTGTTTGGATGCTCAATGTTTATACTTCTCATCCAATCACATTCACTGTCCGCATAGCGCCGTTTATCTGGAGAAGCCTGAAGTAACGAGACTGTTTTTAAAATGTCAGGAGTAGAAGTAAAAAGTCGTCTGAAAAATAAACACTCCAGTAAAGTATCCACTTAAGTACAGTAACCAAGTACTTGTACAAGTAACCAAGTACTTGTACTTGGTTACTTACTTAGCTAGGTGGACCGGGACCAGCCGGACCTCACGACCAGACAACGGACCGGTGTGAAAGGGAAGCCGAGGCTTCTGTAGAGACTTCTACGCCGGGAGGCTTAGCTAGCTAGTTAGCTACGTGCTAACGGCGCCGGTCCGCATGACGTCACCGTGCTAAAGTTAACATCACTGCCCAGCTGCGACGCACACCGGACCGCGGTGTGGACACACAACCAGGACGTGGATGAAAACAGGCACATATTAACCAAAATAGTTCATTGTGTGAAGTTCTGTGTGGCTTTTGAGTTGGTCTCTCCTCAACACACTGATGTTTCCCCAACAAACTAGGTTCATAGGTGCATCTAAATATATACGTATATATACACATGTTCTATTTTACATGTTTGTTTAACTGCACAGTAAGGATGTGTATTTGATACCCTTTGTTGCATTGAATCATACAGGGATGTTTACTGAAACTGATTGGCTGGCAAAAAGAAAACCCACCAGCCGCCACTGATACACATAAATATACGTAAGTATGTGTATGAAGAAGGCCGTCGAGGCACCGGAGGGGGGGTGTGGTAACTGACGGTCGCTGGAGGGAGGCCTTGTTCTGGGTGCAAACTGGACAAGCGGCCACAAACCCCTCCGTGTCCCTCTCAAGTGATGGCCACCAGAAGCGCTGCCTGAAGAAGCAGACCATCCGCCTGACCTCTGGCCGACATCTCATTTAAGGGGCATGTATCAAGGGCATCCTTTTTTACATTACATTACAGGTCATTTAGCAGACGCTGTTATCCAAAGCGACTTACATTTCACTTTAAACCCATGGCTTTTTCACATTTTTGCCCGGGGAGCAATTAGGGGTTAGGTGTCTTGCTCAGGGACACTTCGACATGGAACATGGGGCAGCCTGGACTCGAACCACCAACCTTGTGCTTCCCAGCACACCTTCTCTAACCCCTGCGCCACAACGACCCATTTTTAATTTGGTATAACCGATTTAATACAGAATAGTTGATAGCTTAAGTAATTAAGTAAAGTAAGTAAAGTCATTTAAGAACCTTTTAGGCTGTCTTGTGGCTGGTGTCTTTTTTAACACTATATAGATATTAGGCTGTAAAGCCATTGTATTATTGTTTGATTAAACATTAGGGTTTTTGAATCGCTCTTAGTCTGGACTCTCCCCTGAGACCTGTTGTCCATCGCACAAGGTGCTTGTGCCACAGACAACACAGATAACAGGATCACTGAGCCACTCAAACTCCTCCACCACGTTAAGGTGGCGATTCGCAGAGGAGATTTTTTTTTTTTATGTGGGAAACCCATAGATGGAGGGAAAACCCACAGTTGAACCCCAAATGAAATATACTTTTTAAAATAAAATAAAAATGAAATAAAATATAACTTTTTTAAATGAAAAATAAAATATAACTTTTTAAAATAAAATCAAAGAATAACTTTTTAAAATAAAATCAAAGAATAACTTTTTAAAATAAAATAAAAGAATAGCTTTTTAAAATAAAATAAAAATAAAATATAACTTTTTAAAAGAAAAAAAGAAAATATAACTTTTTTAAATGAAAAAGAAAATATAACTTTTTAAAATAAAATAAAGAATAACTTTTTTAAATAAAATAAAAGAATAACTTTTTTAAATAAAATAAAAATAAAATATAACTTTAAAATAAAAAAATAAAATATAATTTTTTTAAATGAAAAAGAAAAAAAAAGAAAAAAATAACTTTTTAAAAGAAAAAAAGAAAATATAACTTTTTGGCATGTGAGGACCAAACTCCTCATTCAAT